GTGAATGATTGAGTATGAGATAAACATACTCAAAATTGATGGGACTCACATAATTATGCATATTCCTTTTGTGTTAGTATACACAGGAGTAAGAAACATACTCATACATTGTAAGTAAATTAACATGCCATGATTAGAATGTAAGTCTCTTCGCCAATGCAAATCGACATAATATTAATCTGGCATTACAAAGACATAAAATCTATGCGTTTTTTCTTCTTCTGTAAATAATGCAAGGAGTTCTTGAACTTGACATCAATTTTAACAATTTAAAACTAAATACCACTCGTCTAAGAGTTGATTACTTCCAATTAAGCATTTTAGTTGATCAAAGAATCATAGTTAAAGCGTCTGTACAAATCTTTAAGTACATTTTGCCGTTTCAACATCCGAATCCTCTTTCTTATCCTACATTCCAATTTCCGGCCTTAAATTCCATAAGCATAAAGCATGTGCTGACAACCAGCTTAGCTGTAGGAACGAGAGGATCAGAACCGATCCTGCAAAAACCCCTTTGTTTTATTAGTTTTGCTTTTCCTTTCTTTCTCGTTTTTTGCTGCATGGAAAGCAAAGCACTAAAGAGAGGCCTTTTACACTTTATTTCACAGAAAAACACAGAATAAGTTGGCTTTCGATTAATTAGGACCACTAAGCGGGTGGTTGAGACTTGTATTCTATGCATTTGCTATTTCTTGCGCGGTTGTGGGCATGAAGAAATTTTTGTGCATACCCAAAAAATCGTCACGTGGTGCTATTATTTTATTTGTTATAATATGAGTAACCGATAAAATTGATATATTCCACTTTTAAATTATAATTAGAAACTATTATAACACTGCGTGGAGAGTATACTAAAAAATTACTCGTGAGCATTGAGGAGTTGGTGATGTATACCATAAAAAGCTTAGTGTTGTGACAGTACTAATTAACTCACATTTAAGTTAATTTTCAGGTTTAGTCTACTGACTCTACTCTTGCAATTATGAGTCCCATGTTCACAAGTTGGTTCGTCCATATCTTCTTCAATGTGCATTTAAGTACAGCATGTATGATGCTTGTCTATGATTGAGTGCTTTAATTTATGATAATTTGGTTATGCAGGTGCTTTAGTGAACAAAATGTTTATTTTAATTTCTCAATATTGTTTAACGAGACAATCTGATATAATTGTTGACCCTAAAAACTACCAAGCCTACGTGGCGCGCAGGCCGAGTAATTAATAAGCTAACTACGTCATTCGGTTGTGTGCGGGGCGTGCCAACTCGTCGGCCGAGCTCGGCCGAGGAGTAAAATGTGTTGATGTCACGTTGGGCGTGCTGCTGACTTCTTGATATTGCGACTGCAGCCGAGGAAGGAACACGTCTCGACCTTCGGGTTCTACAGCCTGAAGACAAGGCTGTTAATCTTGCGAAGTTCACAGATTGTCGGCGTCGGGTTCGGTCACGATGATTATATTCGTAAAAGTATAAGCATGCCGAACCGATACCAAACTATACGGACACAAGTACTCAAAAGAGATGTATGTCTTGATGGTAAATGTGGTTCGGTCGTCAAGATGCCGAGCTCTAAAACTTACTTGTGAATATCCAATCATAAAACAACTCGGTGTTCAATGTGCCAAGCCCTGTAATCTGTAACACCTCACTTTGTCAAAAAGGCTAATGAGATGACCTCTGCCAGCAAGAACTCGAAAATCCTTCTTGGCCAAGACTTGGATAAATAACCAGTCTGCCTCGACGTCATGCTATTTATCCAAACTGAAGGTGCTCCGGGGTCTGCTGATTCTGCGGCAATAGTGCTGTTTATCCAAACTGAAGATGTGTTAGCAGAAAAAGAAAATAAAAATCTAAAGGTGTTTGAGAGGTTTCGCATAGAGCGAGAGTTTGCGCAGGACAGTTTGTGTGTTGAGTTAGAGAAAGGTTTGAATGATGCACTCCCCTGTGTATATATAGCAGCAAACCTACTCCTAGCCAAACCAGAGATGTATCCGAACTAAAACTCCCAAATCTAATCTGATTAGGATTCGGCCAATCTAAGTTCCAATATGTTTCTGAACCAAGCTCTATAATGAATCATATTCACTCCTAAATTCCCAACACCTTCAACTCTGAAACCTCCTTGTTGTACCAAGACTCGACTTCTTCACTCTTATCCAAATCAATCATTCTTGCAACAGGACTCGGCCGACCTGATTGGCCACTTATAACAGCTTGGACGGCCCATAGTAGTTTTGGAAAAGCATTGGACCGAACACAAATATAAGCTTGGCCCAATAATATTATTTTGGGCCCAAACAATTATGTTTAGAGTTCAGATGGTGAACATTGATTTGTTAGGTTAGGATAATAGGATTAAATGTTTGATAAGTGAATATTGTCGGTTTTAACATATAAGTATGCATGCAAAATCGCACCAAGTTTTGCTTGATTTAAGTTGGATAGTGCTATTCACACACCTATTTTTACTTCACAAACACCTTTTTTATATTATAGTCATTTATCATCTTCAGTTCATTTGATTTGACGATTGAAAATTGAGAAGGTTATATGAGAAGTAAAAATAAATATGTAAATAAAATTACCTATAAGTATATGTTTTTTTTTTTTTTCATTTGAGAGAAATGAATTTTGCACCTTTTTTCACCTCGTAAATATCAACATTTTATGCTTTCATCATTTAATTGAACAAATCAAAAGAGAATTAGAGCAGAAATTCAATAACGAGAATTAAAAAGAGTGTAGAAAGTAATAAATGGTGTGTATCAATCATTTCTCTTTTTCTCGGCCAAGGATCCTCTTTGTGGGGATACAGAGATCAATCAATTGTGTCCGTTTATCGTACATCGTGCGGTCAGTTTTCGTTAAGTACTATTTATATTCAATTTTAAATTCAAAATTCAATATGATTTTTAACCACGTAATGTACAATAAACGAACTCAATTGATTAATTCTTTGAATCCCCATAAAAGGATCCAAAATGGATCTATTCCCTTTTTCTCTATGTACATGACTTTTTTTCTTCTTCGGTTTAAGATAAGCACTTGGACCGATAACAGATAAATAAAGCGTTAAATAAGATTGGACGGTGAAATTATTATATACTCCTAGATGTGCCGACAATTACCCAATTCTTTATTTATTTGGGCCTAATTTCTTGTGAAGGTACAGTTTGGTACGTGGGATGGGACGAAACAGAGTGGGATAAGGCGTTCCATCCCACGTTTGGTGCGCCTAAAACGGGTGGAATGAGCTGTTCCACGGGACGAGATTTGGCTGAATTTTCGTTCCACCTCACCCTCCTGGAACGACTCGTTCCACATTCGTGGAACACAAAATTATAACCTCTATGTCTCCTTCTTCTTCCTCCTTGTTTCCATCCGAGGGCATCTTTGCTCCCGCTCTGTTCCGTTCCGTTCCGTCCTGTCCCGTCCCGTCCCGTCTGCATACCAAACGATAGAGAACCTTATCAACTTTAGTTAGGATTTAGCCCAAACATTTTTGGGCCTTAAAATCCAGGATCACATATATGGAAGGTATTTGGATAAAAATAAAAAATAAAAAGTACCAAAAAAAGTCAAGAAAAAAAAGAACGTAGAAGGAAAATATTGAAACACGCAAAGTTTAATTGATATCAAAGTTGAGAAATATATACCTCCTCTACTCTTGTCCAATTCACAATCAGAGACAATAATTGTAAAAGTTCCTGCATCTCAATTATAGTGTAAAAATTTAACGAGAATGATATATCTTTTGAGTAAAAAACAAATGAATTAGAACTGAGATCACACTTTCAAAATGAAGCTTGAGAAAAGTTTTCGCCGTTCAACGTATTGATCCTACACAGAATACAAGAGGTTAGAAAAGTTTGAAAATTTTGCATATCTCGAACTAGGCCTAATCTTCTTCTTTTTTTTCTTCCCAGAAGCTTCCAGCAAGCAGGCGAGAGTCCTTAAAAGATGCTAGAGGAGGTTTTGAGATTTTCGCTTTAAAAAATCACTTACAAAAATACAAATACATTACGCTACAACGATAATTCTAAGTATATAAATGCAAAACAAACTCCGCGATCAGTCACAATTCTATTGGGCTTATTTGATGCCTGATTTTATTCTTAGTTTTTGGTTTTGAATATACACATCAACTACTTGAGTTATAATCTCTCAATAAATCTTCAACGGTAACCTTAAGTCTCTACTCTCTTATTTGAAAAGTCCATCAGTAGTTAATAGTAATTGATTAAAATGGTAAAAAAATTAAAGATTTTGATTGCCCAACTAATTATACGCTTTTAATGACTCATCATATCATCTTAGTAAACCCACTATTTCACTCTTATAGATTCAAAATTTTTTTTTTTTGAATTGGTTAGTTCAACACTTGGATGTTGTAGAATCATTAAAACGATCAATTTTTCAAAAATATTTGCCCAAGCATCGAGGTCCTGTGTTCAACTCACTCCGCACCTAAGTAGCTTGTATGTATGAAAAAAATAAAACATTGACGAATGAGTCATGACTAATGGCCAACCACCTTCGGCATATATATAGAATAGAAAGATTAGTTCCACTATCTATTCAAAAGCTTGGACTTTTGGTCATCTCGGCTTCCTACTCCACGCAACTTCTACCTGACATTTGTTTGTATAATCCCTTATTATTATGTGTACACGTCCACACCCACGATATCACATTGTCATGTTTTTCAAAACTATATGTAAAATATCATCACCAGAGTATGGAACGAGTTTACTTTCACGTGACATTTCATTCCACGTAAGTTGCTCTTGTTTTATAAATTCTCTAAAATTGTTTCCGAATGATTTTCAATCCCTCGTCATCTCTACTTAATCATTTAAAATTTTGACTTGTGTTGAAATGTTATTGTCACGTGTAACAAGAAAAGCCTTTTATTTGATTCGTCAATTTCTAGTACACAAATTCAGCAATGAACCATATTCAAAACATGACCTTTGACAAAGCAACAAGACATTGTGGCCTAAGTTTTACAGATGTATCGTATTTGGTTTATTTCTTTAACTCAAACTACTATTACAAGTTACAACATGTATATGAATATATTTATATATCTTCTGTGGTATAATTAATAGTATAAATCATGACTAAAAAAAGGGCAAATGATCAAAAAGAAAATGGCAAAATGTTGCCATCCTCCCCAACCTATTCACAATTTGTCCAGTCAATAATCTTGACACAAATTTAGGTCAGCTAGCTTTCAGTTTGCCACTCCTTGATCAACTGTCACAAAAACAGAAGCCGGAACCGCCACATTCGACTCGATTACAATACGGTTATTCGACATGTTCCTCAGGGCATGGTTTGGGAACGCGTTGCCACCGGAACTTAGCGTGTATTGAACGTGCCGAATAAGGTTAGGAAATAGTAAAATTGGATTGAAATCTACGGTCCATGAGCTCCCATTGCCTTGCACAGACCTCCTTCCAACTGTGCCCTTTATGTTCATACCCCTCACATTGTTCCTGTCCACATATACTTGTTCAACCTCTTTGAAAGGCCCATTTGTTTGGTCCAATTGAACAATCCCTATCCCCTTATTGAACCCACTAAACATGTTGTTTACAATATTGACCCCATTGGCAACCCCTTTTATTGATTTTAGGACAATGTATGCATCACCAAGGAAAAAACTATTGGAGATATCAAGCTGCACTGGATCTTCGGCAACAATGCCGGTGTAGTCCATGTACGAATTCACGATTCGTGTTTGTGTCAACCCGGGCAATCTCAAATAAATTCCCGTGCCGCCAAATCCGGTGGCCTTATTGTAGCAATGGACCCCGGAAAGTATGTTGGCCGGACCTGAAATCATAATGCCAACGGCAGCGGAAAAAATCACCACATCTGTCACAGCATTGTCATTCCCCATTAGGTTAATCGCAGTCCCTGAAAAGTTCCTTTCGCCATGATCACCACCGGCGGTGATGTGTTGCCCTAGGAAGGAATTCCGGATGTAGGTTTCGTGGCCACTTTGGACTAGGATCCCATTGGTGGTGAAATGTGTTATGTAACAATTGTCTATGCTGGTCCTAAGTGAGTTTATGACAGAAATGCCCCCTCCCCTGTAGTTAGAGTCCAACAATAGGTCCTTGAGAGTTATGTACTCATAGTTGTAGGATGATGATGAAAGCTGCGCAGACATTGAGCTCTCTTTTTTGGTTTCTTCTTTCATGTTACCGGATGATGTTGGCGATAAATCAATTAGGTAACCATTAGCTGGAAAATCATCCGAGGCGCGTAACGTTCCTCCATGAATCTGTTTCATAAAAACAAGAATGTTCAAGTTAAACAAGTATTACATAAAGCTAATCACATTACTTAATTCAAATCATGATGCTGACATGTATTTGACCAACAATTAGGAAACATATATTAGACTAGGAAAATTCCACAAGGTGAGTCATAGGATGACCATTTGACATAACGTACGTGTATCAGAATTTCGTGGAAACTTTATGATAGACTTTTATCAATATTTAAGAAAATAACGTAAATTGGAGCATACCATAAGGTTTCCTACTCCAGCTCCAGGCAACCTCAAGGGCCTGCTGATCAGATAAAGGCCACCCTCAAGATTGATCTGGGCACCTCCAAGATTGGCAATTCCCTCTATCAAGAACCCTTCAGTTGGGCCTCTAAATGCATCAGCCATTGCTTGAGCAAGTGCATCAGTGCTGTCTCTGCTCCCCGTCGGATCAGCACCGTACGATGTCACGTGATAAACACGTGGACTAGTGCTCCCCTGCACCAACCATCACCCATTTTTCAACAACATGGGCTAACAAGTTACACATAATTTCAACAACAAAGACTCCATCCCAACATTATAACCAAGAATTAAACAACCAAATTACAAAATAAAAATCTATAATTTATGCACAAAGGGATTGACTTACCGTTGGCGGAGCAATAAGGCTAGGACTAGGGGAGGGTAGGATTGAAGATGGTGCAACAGAAATCGAATCATGGCGGATGAGTGATGCCTTGAACTCTTGCAGTTTTCGCAAATGATCGTTGTAATTGCCACTGGGAAACTGACGATAACCCATTTGAGAATCTGCGTAGGCATGAATTACGATGAAGCTACAAAATCCCATGAAGATTGACCATATTAGAGCCGTTTTCGGCATTATTGCCTCCATACCTAAACTCCTCTGTTTTTCCTCTGTTTTTCTCTGCGTTTCTAGCAATGTCAGATGCAAGAAGTTGGGATATATTTGATCGCTTTATATGTGCGGGAGAGAGAGAGAGGAAAACAGAAAGAGAGAAAGGAGGAGTAAGGGGACATGGAAAGAGAAGGGGCTAACTAATATTTGCTGAGAAAATGGTACGAAATGTTTTCCTAGATAATATTATGGGATCATACAAAGGACACCACCCTTCAAATGCTGGTATTTATACAAATGAAATGATGATGAGAAACCCTTAAAATAATTGCGTCTTGTCTTTGTTGTTTTCATAACTGATGAGAGATTTTAATTTTTGTTTTAATTAATCTTTCTCTAACAGAAAAGTAAGCAGTTACCAGATTCTTACTTTTGGGACCCCAACAAGTTTGACAAAGTTTATAAGGTATTTTTACAAAGCAAGCCAACCTGCTACCTGCAATCTAACCTTGTACTTGATTTGGGTCCAGTGTAGGAGTTCCACCTCATTGGGTTTGGTTGATCTATTTATTGACTTTTAATGACACACTTCACACTATATATTCATAACCAATATTTATGTTGAGCGGTATTACTAATCTAAGTTGCACTGAAAGAAAAGTGTTGTTTGAACTTGAGGCACAATTGGTTGAAAAGAAATATCCTATCTCCCAGGATATTATTTATCAACATATCTTGAAACACTAACTTTAGTCCTTCCTCAAAAAGGGGGCTTTCCCACTAATGTGGCATCATTTTACTGTCGAAAAAGAATAATCGAAACCATTCGTGTTATTTGCCATCATCTAAAGATCAATTTAATAAAAAAAAGCATTCACTCTAGAGATAGTTAATTTATGTGTCAAACAAACCAATGATTATGATAACAAGTTATGAATGATCAATTTCTTCGATTTATATGAATGAGTAACGATTTCTAAATCGAATAAAATTTTCTAAAGATGAAATGATAAATGATAATAAAGAGAATGAATAGTCCGATTATGAAATTTGTACGATAAAACGATTCAGGTTAGTAGGAAAGAACTACAATATTTGTTCTTTACATGTCATAAGTCATTTTTTATTGTAGAGAATAACTTCTATGCAACGGGATGATCTCGAGAATAAGTTCAAGCAAAGAGAATGTAAATGTGGTTATATTTTCATTATATTGTAGTTTTTTTTTGTGCGTCGCAGACTCACAATGTAATTTACAAATAAGATGGAAATGCACATCACCCCATATGTAATCAATTTATTGGCATGAGAAAAGGTGCTTAATCTAATTGCTCTTGGGGTGGGTTCATTGTTTGAGAAGAATCATATGTCTTTGGTGCATAATTTGAGAAGTAAAACGACAAAGAATGCCTATGAGGTTTTGGTTCATCCTCCTCCTTTTCTTTGGGCTCTGAAAGAAAAGAATGCCTGTTGTCATTTGTAGTCTGTCATCTGTAACTACACATTCAATAGAATCAGCACACGATGGCCATTGATTATATTTTTCAAATAATGAAATGCATGCTTACTCGATCCAAGCTCACACTCCATGCAATCAAGGACTCAAGATATCAATGTATTTTACTAGATTTGAAAATTTTTGGGTTAAATTGTTTTGTTTGGCATTTTTTTTTATCTTAAAATTATATAGTGGTGTGATATCCACATACCCCTTTTTACTTCTCACACTCTTTTAATTTTAGGTCGTCGGATTGGATGAATTGAAGAAGATTAAAAGACATAAATTAACAAAAGATGTGAGAGAAGTAAAAAGGGGTATGTGGATAGCACATCCCATTATATATTATTCTGAATACAAATTACCATCCAAATCAATAAGGGATTGTGTTGTGGGGGTCAAACCCTAGAATTCTTTCGGTCACATCTACTCGTGAATAAATTTTCGGTGGTCACATCTTATGAAAAAAAAAATAAAACCTATAAGTTGAGGATGGACAAATGACATTACTATATATACCACCTAATTAATGCAATAATATAGTGCGCCTTATTATATACCATGTAAGAGGGGAAACAAAGTTAACATTCTCCAATTGGACTTGAAATTTCTTATCCTTCTTTTTAGCAAAAACGAAGAAAACAGCTATGACAAAGTCGGGTGTATACACTTGTGTCTATTTCTCATCATGCGATTTAACAAGTTACGAGAAAGATCGATACACTATAAGTTTTACTACAGTAGTACTACACTTACGGAGTATTTAGTCGTGCCCTGCCTTTAATGATAACCAGTGGCCAAGTAGAAAACAAACATTTAGTTCCGACCATTTCATCACAACCCTAATTTATGAAAAACTTTACCATTGTGTATATGCAAAGCGCAGCAAACCATATGATGGAAGGACAAACCGAAGGTCACGGGCATGCATGAGTACACTTTTTCAGTGTGTGAAAGGCCACCAAGCTGCATCAAAACAAAGAGTACTTTCCTCCTTGTGGGTCAGTTTCAATACGTACATGAATCTATAATTGCTTGGTCTTTGCTTTGTCACTTAAGGTCACCAAATATTAATTGCATCACGACAATCAAGTAGGGGAATATTAGGTAGCTATAGATATCCTAACTCTCAAACTATATTCTTTGTTTTTGTTTGCCTTGCTATTACACATCACTTCGTTTTTCTAATTTTAATGTATAAGTAAGTTTGGTTGTTTTAGTAGACAAGCAAACCCTAAAAAATTATCTTTTCATGTACACAATCATGATAACTAAATGAAAATGATATGCTTGTTTAACAGTCAGATATTCCAAATTAATCAAATCGATAGAAAGGGAGATCGAATTCTAGTGTAAAGAGGCGGAGAAACTACTCTGGCAAGTTGGCCTAACCCATTGTTTGATAGTTATTCCACAATTATAATAATAATATAGAATTACAATATAAGTTAATGAGTGGAGTGAATGATTGAGGAAGGTGAGATGAGAAGACAAAGAATTCCATGGTGGTGCCTGCCTTCATTGATGCTGTTGGGTAAGGTTACCTCAAACTCGTTCTTCATTTTGAAGAAACCATAGAAAGCAAAATTAAACTTGGAAACTTGCTTTGCTTGTGGCTGACGCCAACCCAGTTACCCCACCTAGCTACTAGCTTTGCCCTTTTTAATGAGTTCGATCGTATTGAAACAGTACAATATATATTCTGTATACTTATTATCTATTTGAAGACTGTATTCAGTATATGATGCATTTCATCTCTCCAAACATTTCACATGCAGCTCCAGTTTCATTGCACGCCTGTGTGGAGAATATTAAAAGACAGTTCTTATGCCAAATTTATATGATTCACGTGATAAAATCAAAGGTGAAATCAGTTAACTTTATTTGTTAAGATTGGTGTCTCCATGGTATAGGGTGTGAGAAAAGTTTTACTAAACTTTGCATGTCCTCATAAGGATTTAGATTATTTCTCATATTGCAAATTGATTTTTTATTATGAAACTTCAACTGTTTTCAATGATTATTTTATAATTTCAATATGATTTGTTTAATTGAAATTGCCATTCACACTGTACTTGTAGGTTTTAATTACTATGATAATGTTGCTCAGTAAAAAGGTAAAAGAAAATGTATAACGCCATAGAAATGTACCATACAATTATACAAATAAAAAAAACAACCTTCAAGAATGAATTGCTTCCTTGGTCATCAATTGGATATAAGAATCTTGGAAAGGTACAAATTTGGCTCAAGAATTAATAGTGACGAGGGTCCTTTTTCATGGTTGGATTAGCGACCAAAGTTGAATGAATTGGCATGGATTTAAATATCGCATACAATGAAGCCTTTAAGAGAAGGGATCTCTATTTTTTTTGAAAAATAAGGACATTCTCTTAACCGTTAGATTTGGCTTTAATGAAATCCTATAGTTGAGATTCTGTGGCCTGTGATGTAATCTCAGCCATAGAATTTCATTAAAGTCAAATCTAATGGTCAAGAAGGTGTCCCCATTTTTTTTTGAAACATGGGATCCCTTCCTTAAAGGCCCTGTCGCATACATTATAGAAGCTAATTTATCATGTCTATGTACTAACAAAGAAAAAGAAAAAGTTATAGACGGGTGGGGAAAACTCGGTTTTCATACACCATCTTCAATTTGTGGGATAAAATTTAAAATATAAGCTTTAAAACTCCTCTAAACCATCTCCAACCTTGGGCTAAAATAAGCTTTGGGGAGAAAATATATTTTTGGGCTAGATTCTCCTAGAAATTAAGTCTAGCTTAAATTATTCAAGATCCACCAAACGATCATATTTCTAACCTTTTTCTTTTTGTTTTTTACTTATAATCCAATGACTGTGATCAAATGAAATCAAATCTAATGGTAAAAAAAAAAAGATTTGATGGACCAAAATTAAATCTAAAATCTAAAATAATTTAAAGAAATTATTTAAATCAAATTCCACCTAAAACTTTATAAATACCTATGTATTTGTATTTGTATTTTTTAATTATTTGTCATAATTTAAATATTTTTAGGTTAAAATGTTCATAAAAATAATTTAAGATAATCTACTTAAATTTTATTTGAAAAAAAAAAAGGCTAAAATCATAGTTTTAAGCCATAAACAGTTTCTAGGTTATGGGTTAAAAATTTTTTGTTTAAGTTTTTAAGTTTTATCCCCAAGGGTTGGAGATGGTCTTGGAGAGGGGCGGTTTGATAACTATTTGGTTTTTAGTTTTTCTCACTTTTTTGAAATTTGAAAACCAAGAATTGAAAACTACTTTGTTGAGTTTTCAAAATTTGGCATTGAGTTTTCACTATTTGCTTTTGAATTTTTAAATTTTCTTTAAACTGAAAGTAGTTACCAAACAAGATTTCAGTTAAAAAAATAATAAAAATAAAAAACTGAAAACGAAGTAGTTATCATCTAAATTATGCATATGGTGACGGGAAAAAAACTAAGAAGGAAAGAAAGAAACGGGCATGTGTGGAGCATGACAACTGAATTCACAAAAGCACTAAACCATGATGTTTTGGTGAACAGATGCCTCGACAGACTAATAAATAACTATTTACACGAAGTTCATAATTTTTGATAAAATTTTATTTGAACATGTCAATATATTTTGAAAGAAGAACTAATAAAAAGTACCTTACGAACAAAAATTTCGCCGGAAAACACTTTGAAACTTTTTCTTACTATTAGGGATTTTTTGTATTATAATTAAGGACAAAAAACAAAAAGAAGTTGCACTTCATAAGAGTTTTGAATTAAAAAAGTCATTAATAATAAAAAAAAGTGATTTTTTTTTAACAACCGATATTATCTATACTAAAAGGATAAAAAAATATTTTAAATAATAAGCAAATGTTCCCTAAATGATAAAGAAAGTTCTGAGAGTTTTCTTTTAAAAATAATTTACGAGGAGCTTTTTATTAATTTTCTATACTTTGAAATAACCAAGTTACTAGAAGGGGAAGAAAATGTTTGCCACACCATTTGCCAATGTCAATAAAAGGCTAGAAGTCTTTATTATTATTTTTAAGCAGTATGTAAGTCCATAGAATATAGAACTCTTTTATTTTATTTTTTGATAAAAAAAAAAATTATCTATATTAAGGGGTGGAGGAGTGAGATAAGTCTCATAATGTGCTAGCAATAATGTGTGGTTCAAATTCGCCTTTGGTAAGAATCGAATCTAATACCTCTTAGTTACAAGTGAAGAAGAGTACCACTAGACCGTAATACTATGTGACCCATAGAATATAAAACTTAAACTATGATGTACGTGTAGCATACATATGTGAGTTAGACTAGTTGATGAGGGGTAGTGTACTCATTTTTACACTGGTTGAATTCCCTCTCCATAAATTAAAATAATAGTTTAGAATGTTGCTTTGTAAAAGATAACATGATGTACATGTATTATGTTGAATTAAAAAAGTTCCTTAATAATAAAGAAAATTTCTTTAATAATCAGAAATGTGCTCTAGATGAAAAACAAAATTGTCTGAGAGTTTTTTATTATGAAAAAAATTTACGATGAGCTTTCTATTAATTTTCTACATTTTGAAACAACCAAGTTACTAGAAGGGGAAGAAAAATTTGTCACACCATTTGCCAATGTCAATAAAAGGCTATGTCTTTATTATTTTTTTAAGACATAAGTAAGTCCATAGAATATAAAACTTAAAACATGATGTACATGTAGCATATATATGAGTTAGACACTCGAGTTTGATCAATTCCATCTCCATAAATTAAAGTATTAGTTTAGAATGTTGCTTTGTTAAAAATAACATGATGTACATGTATATATGGTTGGTAAACAACTAATTATGTTGAACTAGAATAATAATTGCTTGTATATATAAGTAAGGAGGTTACCAAAGATGTCTACCCTTACGGCCTTACCCCAACTCAATTACTCATAATACTTGAGTTAAAACTGATTGGAAGAAATCATATATTCTTTCAGATAAAAAGTAGAACGTAATTGTTTTATTCATCTCATGAACTTTCTTTTATGATTCAGGTAATCACGTATCTCAGCTGGCCGGCATATGAATTAATCTATAACAAAAGACTGATCACATGAATTTCATGTTTTAGTTACTGAAATGGTGGAGAATATGATTGTATATTCCAACATTGAAAAGACAAGATAAATTATTTTCTGACGTTATATCTCTTGCTTGTGCATCAATAGCATGCATGACTTCCATTTGAATTATCGTGCATGCAACATCCATCCCCATTAATTAAGGGCGCTGGTCCTCACAATTTATGGTGGCATGAAATTTTCTTATTTTACTTCTGTCTAGTTGATGACTGATGAGTAATTTTAAGTAGATTAATTTATAAATTATATAACGTGTCACTGATAGGAAATAACACGTTAATCAACACTTAACTAATAATCTAATAATCAACAACCATATTATATAATTTACAAAATATGGTTTAAATAGATAGTCCCCTTAACATTACCCTTAGTAGATATATTACTAAGAATTTGGTGTTATTAATGGAGGACCAATCCATATGATTATTGAAAAATATAGTCCTTTTCTATATAATTAATTAATATGGATTTGGGATTCTTACAATAAACTAAAATTTAGGTATAAAATCCGGAAGCATTAAGGGCTATGAGATTTTCTCTGGCTTTGAAGAAAAACTGTTTATGAAGGATTGTAAAAGTAATCAGTTGTGAATGAAGTGGTTTAGTATTTAGTATATAGTCGAATACGAGGAATCTATGTTCAATATATCGTTTTCAAACCGTTCTGGTTCTATATACGTTTGAATACGGGGAATATATATGGTCAAATGCTTGTCAACAAACGAAGCATACGTAATAACTATGTCCATTGCAAAAATGTATGGGTAATGTTATTCATACTATGTTTTTGTACCATATTTTCATACCACCTTAGATGACATTTGATATGGACAGCCACATCATTTAAATTAATCAGATTTTTAAATTTAGTTCATTATTTAATAAACTAATAATTAAGGAAGGGAATTGTTATTGGCATTCCAAAATTTTCATTTTACACTCCAAATTTTTCATATTTAGAAAGAAAAATACACTTGTGAGGAGTGTAGAATGAGATTTTTGGAGTCCTAATGACACTTTCCTTTTGAAAAACTAGTTAATTAAATAATGATTGTGGTATACGAGGAGTCTTTCTCCTCCCTTTCCTTGGGTTTTGTAAATTTTTCAAATGATGTTGTTGTCCACATCAAATGCCACTTAAGGTGGTATAGAAGTATAATATAAAAATATGGTATGAATAACATTACTCAAAATGTATTCAAATCAAAAGACTCGGCTGAATTGTCGAAGATTAAAACTAGATTTCTTATGGGCCAACTTACAAAATGCAACACCCCAGCTGTGAATTGTTCTATAACACACAAAAATTATTCTACAACACACAAAGACGCATGGAAGTATTTTTGGGTAATTCTGGGTTTGACAGGGGTCGACGGATCCTGCCATTTGAAATGGATACCCAACCTTTTTGCCCAATTTCAAACCAAACTCCAACTGCCACCCGAAATTTCAAAGAACGTGAATGAGGGAGAGGGTGCTAAGTCTAGTATCCATTAATTAATTAACGTGGAAGGACAACATGACCTATAATAAGTCTTGAGTTTTGGTTTTTTACCTGCATAATTGTAATACATTTTATATGTCGATACTAATTTAGATGCATCCAAGGCTCACTTTTAATCTAGGCGATTGAGGACGTCGTTAATAACAATATATTCCGGACGAATAAATCAGGATTAGCCCACACACATGAAGCTTGATGCAGCATGCATGGAACATGTGGCTTTTGATTTGATATATTAGGAGAAGTCCATCGAATTACATATCAACATCAAGGGCCATGTTTAGCAAATTGCTAATTATATGGAATGGAATTAGATGGTGAGACTCGTCAAGATCAGACAAAAGCACCGGAAGCCTAATGTGATGAGACAAATCGTATTATTGAGAATTAGATGGTCATCCAATCAAAAGCTTATCCACTGATCTCTCTACCACTTCGATGAGAGATTTTTCAATATGACAGGTACAAGGAATGGTATATCACATGTCACTATACAAATTATGGAATATATGTGCTAAAAAGTTAATAACTTAAAAAAATGAAATTTCTCACCACTTCTATTAAAATATGTGGTGTATCACTTATGTTTCTGTCACAATTAAAAATTTCTTTATGGAGAGTTGGAAATTGGAAGGCATCCAATCCATGACGGACATTTGGTTGGAAAAGAGGAGGATAAGATACCCTAGCTGCTAGCAGTTGTCGCTTCTGGTTATCAAGCAGTATTATTTAAATGATCATATTCTTTTTTCTTTTTTTAAAAAAAATTATTATTATTAAGAGAGGGTTTGAAATTATTACAATAATTTGGCGATATAGAGAGAGGGGGGTGATTTGGATTTGGAACACATAGGTAAAAACTCAAAATTCTATCCATTAAAATATTGGATCATATGCAAGAAATGATCATGTTCTGTATTAATATTCTATTCAAAATTTATGGGGAGGAAGATTTGTACTTAAGTGCATAGGGAACACATTTTGTTTAGTCAATGTGATTATGCACAACTTTTAATCAATATTAATTCTAAATTATACTTGAAAAAAAATTCTCAATAATATATATTGCGACATCTAATTAAACACACTGCCCTTTTACTTTCGTGTACTCCTATGAGAAAAAGATTTTGTGAATATTTAATTTACAGTGCAGATTGATAATGGAGTGCGAAATCGTTGCCTTAATGTATATAACTCTAGTAATCAGTGCCAAAATTTTGGAATTTGGCTATATGGTTGATAGATTGAAAATTTGGAGTTTTAACGAAAAGCCTGCAGTATTATTCACTTTAACGAAAAATCATATTTTTACACTAAAAAGTCAAACTTGATATTATTCATTTTACTTTTTATTTTATCTTTATCGTTAAAACTCAAAATTTTTAAATCTTTTTTATTAGTTTTCATCTGAAAATGATGTATGGCCTTGCTTGCTCATCACTTGACAAGGAGCAAGAACACGTTTGGCCTCTTTTTTCTGTCCGTACATGTTAGGCTCACCAATTATTGTCTGTCTTTGTGACTCATCACTTTATGCATGAGCGATGAGCATGGAAATATTCCCACCATAATTTCTTCAGTTTTACCTTTTTTATCACTTTCTTTTTGTCTTTCCATTTTATACAATGATCAAGTTCAGACGACTTGAATTAAATTACAGTTTCTTTACCATCCTCTTCCTAATTCTTCTTCTACCAATCTTGACATCTTCAGCATGTACATACGAAAAGAAAGACGAACACCGAAACGAATCCAAATTGCTGATCAGATATAAACTAATTGCAATAGCCTCAGTCCTAGTTTCTGGTGCACTAGGAGTTTGTCTTCCATTCGTGGTGAAGAACATACCATTTTTCCACCCGGAAAAAGACTTTTATCTCTTAATCAAAGCCTTTGCGGCTGGGGTGATTTTAGCAACGGGGTTTGTTCATGTGCTTCCTGATGCTAACGACAGCTTGACAAGCCCCTGCCTTAGTGAAAACCCATGGAGAAGGTTTCCCTTTACAGGTTTTGTTGCCATGGTGTCAGCCATTGGGACATTGATGATGGAAGCTATTGCTACTGGGTATCAGAAGAGGTCTGAGCTCAGGAAACCTCAGCCAGTTGATGGTGATGAAGAAAATGATCACGCTGTTCATTTTCATGGTTCTGCATCAAATTCGTCGGAGCTGATCCGTCATCGAATCATATCACAGGTAATCCAAATAAATTGTCTTTAAAGCTTGGCATCAAAATTTCCTATATACACACACGAACTCTACATCTTATTTATCTTATACAAACGAAAAACAAAAGCAATAAAGGATTAGGCGAGCAGACCAACATGCTAGTCCAGTTGTCGGACTACATACATATGGACTCGCAATTATTAATTGATTGGCCATGCATTGCAAAATGCAGGTTCTGGAATTGGGCATTCTGGTTCATTCAGTGATCATTGGGATATCTCTTGGTGCTTGTCAAAGTCAACACACAATCAAGCCTTTGGTGGCAGCATTGAGTTTCCATCAATTTTTTGAGGGCATGGGACTTGGTGGATGCATCTACCAGGTACTCGGTTCTCAGCTAACAAATTTCTTTGTCAAGTAAAAAAGAAGAAAAAAATGCTCCCAAATTCCTGCTAGCTTGAACATTGTAGGAGAAGAGTTTTTATGTAACGGGAAATTCCATATTGTGGCTGTATCCCAAGTTAGTTAGTTCTTGTCATGTTAAAACGTTAAAACGCATGATTGAATTGGGATACTAATTATAAGCTAATTAGAAGATTTATGATTTGGGCAGGCCAAGTTCAATCATAAAACCATGGCAATAATGGTGGTATTTTTTTCCCTCACCACACCAACTGGGATAGCTGTTGGCATAGCAATATCAAAAACCTACAATGAGAGCAGCTCAACTGCACTAATTGTTCAAGGGCTTCTCTTATCAGCATCTGCTGGGATTCTTATTTACATGGCGCTTGTTGATCTTCTTGCTGCTGATTTCATAAACAATACTAAAATGCTAAGCAATCCCAAGCTCCAACTTGGAGCTAGTTTCACGCTTCTTCTTGGAGTATGTTTTATGTCTCTGATGGCAAAATGGGGGGAATCATAATTACAATTCAATTTATTAATGGTTCATTTGATAGTCTTTTTGTCTTAATTTTTCACTTTCTGTGCTCAAGAGAAAAAATGAGTGAAGAAATGTAGATGACAGTGGTGGGACTGGAAGGGATGAGGAGAAATGATAGAGAATGTACGACACAAAAATTTGAAAGTGAAACAAATCTAAAATTGTTGTAGTTTTTTTTATACCTAGTTTTAGTCTTGTGTGTATCGTTTCTTATACATATCTTCCACATCTCTCTCCCACCATGCTCACAAATTGTAAAGTTCGCTTATTGAACTATGTGATTTTACAACTACCGACACGAAAATAGAGAGTCCTCTATATCCCTCTTCCCACCTTCCCACCCATGGTCCCCCCGATTGAGAGAGAAGCAGCACGCATGCAGTTGTTGGACACAAGATTCTCTCGACTATGCTTCTTACATCCTTCTTCATTTTTTATTTACCTCATGTCTCATTTACCTCTAATCAAAGAAATTAAAACTAAAAACTAAAAATGAAATAATTATCAACATATCTCTAAGCTCTAAAGTTCTATATGTATGCTGACATGATCTAAATTACTGCAAGTTCCAAGTTCTTTTTAGCATGAGTGGGTACAAGTTCAAATAGAGGTTCAAAGACAAACAGTACGCAAAATATGTTTTTTTTTTTTTTTTTTTTTTTTTCTTCTTCCGTTTGGGTCAATAAATTGTAATTATTAGTTAGCATTTCGGATTTCAAAGTCCACTAAGGCCTTGTTTGGCAGCTTGGACTAGACTAACTATTTTTGTCGGATAGCATAAATAATCACCGGATAGTACTAACTAAATTAGTCAGACGTTTGGTGCAGTATCAGACTGATGATCGTATTATTTATACTGTGTTTGGTACTGAACTGGATAAGAAAAGGGAAGAAAAAAAAATTTGACAAATCTTTTTTTTGTTTGATGAACTTTTCTCTCTTCCCTCCTCACATTGCCGATCTTCTCCACAGATTTCCGATCCTTTCCTCCCCTCGCTCCCTCCTCCTCCATCACTCCCTCCCTAAATTTCTGGGGTTCTAGGGATGTTTAATTCAGACAAAAAGGGGTTTGGAGGCCCAAAAACAGCTTCGTTTTGAGGATAGAGGTTAGGCTCATGGTGGCCGTTGGATTCAGAGACGGCTTTTGAGGTGAAGCTGGTGAACAATCTTGGATTCGCGAAGAAAGAGGAAGTGAGTTTTGTGTGTCTTTCACTAGGAAAGAGAAGAGAGCCTTTTTGCCGTTGGAGCTTGCTCTGGTTCTTGACATCCCTCCGCAAAACAAGAAAAATAACTCGGATTTGAGAGGATTTTAAAAGACATTAAAATCCTAGTGTAGTCAATTAAAAGATTTTAAAGGATTTTAGAATCCATTCAAATCTAGGTGTAGTCAATTAAAAGATTTTAAAGGATTTTAAAATCCATTCAAATCTAAGTGTATTAAAAAAATTAAGATTTTGGAGGATTTCAATAAGTTGTGGATTTTGTGGGATTTGAGAGCTATAATCAAGACTAAAAAGAATTCAACCTCACCCCGTAGGATTTCAAATCCTTCCACCACAATCCATTTAAATTTTTTAAAATCCATATGAATTTTGTAGGAGTCTTTAATCCTCTTTAATCCTATAAAATCTATCATTTTTAACTTGAATTTAAAACTTAAATTTGATTTTCACCTAGTAAATTACTCACAAGCTTTGAAGCTCTAGAAAATGGCAGAAAGTTGCAGACTTTAAAGCTCTGTTGTGTTAGATAACGGCTGATGAAAAAACCCAGAAATCAAAATTTGCAGAAAAATTCCATGAAACAAAGGGAGAGGCAGAACCTAGGAAGAAGAAGAAGATGAATGAGAAGATAATCCGGGATTCAGACGAACAAGAAGATGAATGAGGAAGGGGCGGAACCTGGGAGGATCGACACTGCGTTTGGAGAGGAAGGAGAGAGCGAGCCCGACTAAATTATCCCGTGGTTTTAGACGGGATAAATAGCCGGGTGTGAGGGGTATAAGATAAATGGGCCCGGATTAAATAGTCCGTGCTTATTTCATACGAAGCTCACCAAACACCCGTGTCGTATTATTAACACTATATGGTGGTACTATCCGATGTGCCAAACGAGGCCTAAAAGTAATCTTTATTAGGGTCCAACCAAAGTGGGGAATCTCTTTTTGTTTATGAGCTTATTTTTAACTCATTACATGAAAATATGTTCTAAATCTTTTAGATTGATAGTGGTAGACTGCAGTGAACTGCTCCAAAAGTTAAGATTCCAGTTCCTCTTCAGGAATAGTATTGTGTCATCTGTAGGACCACCAACCAACTAATATATTGGAATTATGTGACCACCAACCAACTAATATATTGGAATTATGTTCTGGACCAATCAAATTATTGCTTTCTATATTATATTTTTTGTTGGAACTTACTACCTTGATTAGGCTGAAAAGGGGCATGCTGGGACGGAGCAGGGACAACATGGAACCACAGACATCGAATGGAAACGGTGTTTCGTCAGTTCCTTATCCTCATCGGTCTTTTGCACATGGGATTAACAGGAAAGTGATAGAATTTTCTCTTTTCGAAAGGATACGTGGCCATGTGAACAGTATAATGTTGGAACAAACAATCAGAATACAACGTTATTGATAACAAATTATAATAAACAATTGAAATAACTATAATCCAATAATGTATTACAACCAATTCGTAATTGAAATATTGTAAACTAAAAGAAACAAGAAAGTAGGAAAATTGACTTGATTGAAAAGATAGAGGCCTGCAGATTTTGCAGTGTCCTAAAGACAGAATTGTGCCCCTACTCCGTGCTTGTAGTTCAATGGGCGTCCGTCCCCCAGGATTCAACTATCTGTAATTCAAAGTTTCAGCACCAGAGCTTTGAATTTTGGCTAACTTTTGAATGCTTTCTCTTCCAAATAATATGTATATTATATGCAGTATATGTATATTATTATTTTTGTGTCTGACCTCTTTGGTATTATATAGGATACTAAGTATCCTTTCCCAACTGGTATTAGGAAGTTAAGAAACTGCCCACATAAGTTAAATTCAAATTGAAGAGATAAGTATGAAATTTTGAATTTGGCTTATTCAAATACATATTCGGTCTTTTACCAACAGACCTATATAACATATTATTCACACCAAATTACTATTAATGTGAAGAATATAATATCAAGTATCTTGATAATATGTACACTAACGATATGTGACAATTTGCACACAAACTCCAACAGTACCCCACATTTGTATGGACATTGTCATAAATGAAATGCATGCAGCATTGGAAGAGAAAAACAAAACAAAATATGCATCAGAAGATGTGTCTTTTGGACTTGAACCTTTCTTAACGAGTACTTATTGGGTTTACCTGATGACCCAATGGATATAGTTGATCTTGAATTGTTCATCTTTTTGTGATAAACCGATACAATAAGTATCACACATATTTCACTTCTACGTACTTAGGTTCATACATTGGTGTTCGTTTTGGTCCTGAACAACATCCTGATTTCATGAGAGCTTTAGAGGTTTTAGCCATGAATTCTCATAAATACGACCCCACATTTACTCTCATATAGGTGACCACCAATTAAGAATGTTCTGCTACATTCCTCTTATACAAAGATATCGGTGTCATTAAATGTAAGATATGTAACCTAAACCTACTGTAGACAACACACATTCATCCTAGGAATGGTCAAATGTGTGTTCAACTATTGAGTCTTACCCAAGCATTTTGGCTATTGAACCTAGACCATGGGATCTCAAATCAGCTAGGTTAGGTTACCATTCGGTTCAACTCATTATATTGGCTTTAGACCCATTCCCCTTGATGAAAATTTAATTTGCTTATGTGGTAGGCGTTTTGTCAAAGGATCTGCTATATTTTCCTTTGACTTCACGTAATCAATGGATATAATTCCATTTTAAGCAATTGTCTAATTGTATTATGTCTACGTCTTATATGTCTTGACGTCCCATTGTACATCTTATTTTTTACTCTTGCAATTGCCGCCATGCAATCACAATGTATACAAATGGCTGTTATAGGCTTTGGTTCCAATGGAATATCTTCCATAAAATTTTGAAGCCACTCTACTTCATTTGCGTCATTTCTAAAGCTATGAACTCTGATTCCATGGTCGAACATGCTATACATGTTTGCTTGGAAGATTTCCATGCCACTACTGCTCTTCCAAATGTGAAAACATATCCACTTGTGGATTTAGTTTCCGAGCTATCTGAAATCCAATTTGCATCACTATATCCTTTAAGTACCGGTGGATATTTTGAAAAATGCGGTCCAAAGTTCATTGTGCCTTTTAAATAGCGTAGTACTCTAATCAAAGCGTTCCAATGGTCTTTCCCTGAATTACTTGTATATCTGCCAAGTATACTTACGGAATATGTCAAATAAGGTCTTGTAGGGTTCATTAAGTACATTAAACTTCCAATAACTCGTGCATATTCCAATTGAGAGACTGGATCTCCAACATGCTTTTTCAATTTGCAGCTAGGATCAAATGGAGTTACAGCAGCATTGTCATTATAATGACCAAATTTTTTAAGTATTGATTCCACATAGTGAGATTGTGTCAGTATATAACCTTCATCAATTCTTTTAATTCAAATTCCTAAAATGACATCTGCAAGCCTCAAGTCTTTCATGTCAAATTTAGAATTCAACATCTTTTTTTATGGAATTAATAACGTCTTTATCAATTCCCAAAATGAGCATGTCATCTACATACAAGCATACAATGACACACGAATTTTTATAGCTCTTTACATACACACACTTATCACTTTCATTTATTTTAAATCCGTATGTAATTATTGTATGATCAAAATTTTCATGCCACATTTTTTGTGCTTGTTGTAGTCCATATAGGGACTTAACAAGTTTACAAACTTTATTCTCTTGTCCTTTCACTAGGAAACCTTATGGTTGTTCCATGTATATTTCTTCTTCAAGTTCTCCATTTAAGAAAGATGTCTTAATGTCCATTTGGTGTATTTCCAAATTATATATGGCTGTGATAGAAATTAGCATCTTAATTGATGTAATTCTTGATACAGGCGAGTCTGTATCAAAATAATCCAGCCCTTCTCTTTGGCGATAACCTTTGGCTACAAGATGTGCTTTATATTTATCTACAGAG